AATTGAGGGCATTTAAGGAAGCTCAGGAAAAAAAATGAGCATTTAGGGAAACTTGGAGGGAACTTAGGACGGAATCTGAGGGAGTTTTAGGGAAATTTGAGGAGATTTAAGGTGAATTTGGGGTGGATTTGGGGGTGCGGGCTCTCACCAGCTGCTCCCGGTACGGGAATTCCTTCCGCCCGTCGRGGCCATCCCGGTAAAACTCCTGAAAAAATCGCTTCGCCTTCTCTGAGGAGGAAACAGAGACCCCGAGGGGCGATCGCGACAATGAGGAGGGGTCGCGATAATGAGGGGCGGTCCCGATAAGGAGGGTCCGCTATGGGGTGGGGGAGGGGCGGATAACGGGTCCTAAAATCAATCCAAACCGCCCCCAAACCTTTTTCGCTGTCGTAGTCGCGCGGGGCCATTTCGGGGCAGCTCCTGTCGCGATTTTCCCCTCACGATGGCGATTTTCCCCTCACGATTGCGATTTTCCCCTCACGATCCCGATTTTCCCCTCACGATGGCGGTTCTCCCCTCACGATCGCGATTTTCCCCTCACGATCCCGATTTTCCCCTCACGATCCCGATTTTCCCCTCACGATCGCAGTTCTCCCCTCACGATCCCGATTCTCCCCTCACGATCGCTATTTTCCTCTCACGATCGCGATTTTCCCCTCACGATCGCGATTCTCCCCTCACGATCGCTATTTTCCTCTCACGATCCCGATTTTCCTCTCACGATCGCGGTTCTCCCCTCACGATCCCGATTTTCCCCTCACGCTCTTTCCCGCCACGGTCTCCCCCTCACAGCGAGTGGCGCGAAAATCGGCGGTCACGTGACGCGCGGCCAATCAGAACGCCGGCACCGCCTTCACCGGGACGGAATCGCCAGCCAATCACAGGAGAGAACGCCCAGAACCGGAAAAGCGCCAGCCAATGGGAAAGCGCGGCGCTGCCCACGTGGGATGTGGCCACGCCCGCGGTGGGCGGAGCCGGGCGCGCGGCGGCGGCGGGAAGCGGCCCGGAGGTTCGGGGGGCCCTGAGGGGGGATTGGCCACGCCCCCTCTTAAAGGGGCCGCCGCCTTTTTGGG